AATTACAGTATGCAGTAAAAGTAGTTCTAAGAGGGAAGTTTATAGCAATAAATGCTTACATTAAAAAGAATATCAAAAAATTAAAATCTCAAATAAGAAACCTAAACTTACACTTTAAGGAACTAAAAAAAGAAAAAAGAAGCCCCAAATTACTAGAAAGAAAGAAATAATAAATATCAGAGTGCAAATAAGTAAAATAAACACTAGAAAAACAATTAAGAGTTGCTTATCTTTGAAACAAAGTTGGTAAGTCTAGCCAGACTAACCAAGGAAAAAAGAGAAGATCCAATTAAATAAAATCATAAATAAAAGAGGAAACATTAAGTTTAAACAGACTAATAATAAATTAGACTGAAGCCATGATGAAAACCTCCCAAAAAAGAAAAGCTAAGGACTAAATCATTTCCCTGGTACTAATTCCAATCCTTCTCAGACTCTTCCAAAAAAATGAATCTGAGGGAACTCTTCCAAACACATTTTGTAAGGCTAACATTACCCTGACACCAAAGCCAAAGGATATTGTAAGAAAAGAAAATTACAGGCTAATATTCCTAGTGAACACAGATACCAAATTCCTCAGCAAACACTAGCAAATGAAACTTTGAACAACACATCATACACTGTGATCACACACCATGATCAAGAGGTACTTTTAGTTCTGGTTATTTTTCTCCTGTTGGACATGTAAGAGTCACTCCAGTATTACCACAGCTGCAGGCTGTGTGTTCTCAGCAACCATGCCCACTCTGAGGTCTGAGTCTGAGCCTCTAGCTTTCCTTTTTGGGGGTTTCCAATTTCCTTTCCCTCAATCCTAGAAGTAATTGCTGCTTTATATAGTCACAGCCTGTATAACTTAAGAATTTTCTTTTAGTAATTAATATATCTTTTACTTTGTTCACAGTTATTTTTCCACATTGAAATCACTGGTGTGGTAATTCTTGTCCTCTGATTGAACTTAGTGCCTAATACAATAAAAGACACTATTTCTTTATTATTTTTTTAACATAGCAAGGTTTTAAATTTATTAAAGGTAGGAAAATAAATATTTTCTGCAGAGTGAGTGAAGACCACTGAAAATGAGTCAGCACGGTAACTGAGATCTTTTGGTTAATGGCTTATGTCTTTTGTATCCCACATCCCTCAGGCTGACATCAGATTAGGCCATAGTATCAAAAACAGGCTTGGTCTCATGCCAGAACTGAAGATAGCATTTTCTGATTGGTTCTAGGTGCAAGGCTTGGGCACATGTGTCCTGGATCTCCATGATTGACAGTTCATGTCCACTTGCCCAACTGGTTGGCCAAGCTCTAATCTCCTGCCTGACTTCCCCACAAAGATATAAATCCCAATAATTTTTTTCTGAATTGCTGAGGGTATGGCAGTCTGTCTTCATTCCGCTACTTCCAGCTGAAAGGAGCTTTCGGCCCTACCTACTAGGGATTATGTTCTTTCCAACTAGTTCCTTGGGATGTTGTGGCTCACGGGATGAGTTAAAAAAACCACAAAACTATCTGACAACAATGAGAGCAGAGTTAGTTCCTATACTTGAAGAACTGTTGAGCTGCCTATTCAATGAGAAAGCTTGATGAATTTGTCAGGAGAGTCATGTGGTGTAAATAACCATCTCAAGCCTTGAATGGACAAACTTTATTATAAGGTTGACAACAGAGAGCTCAAATATGAGAAGATGCAGGACAGAATATTTCTTGGACTATGATAGATCTAGTCATTAGAGATTTCCAAAAATAAGCTACCAAGAGGCTGAGAGTCATAGCCCAGCAAGATCACCCACCTTATGGACCTAATTAGAAATAAGAGTCCTGATACAAGTGCCCATTTAAACTGTGGTGGTTTAGGTGTCATAGTGAATACTTCTCTGCACTTGGAGCAGTACTATAGTCTTATTTGTTGAAAAGACCCTCAGAACTTCCAGAGGTTTACAGGAGTGGTCCTTTCCCTCAGGCAGTTCAGGTGGAACTGGCTTTATCCCATGATATCTAGAGTCACCTGGGGTTCCTCACAGGAGATGAAGAGGCCCAGGACAAGGGCATTTCAAGTAGTCCTGGGCCCCTTCAGTCCTCCTCATCAGAGCAAGTGGTGAGGGTTTGGGCTAGCCTAATACCTTTCTGGGAATGGGGCCAGTCAATCCTCCAGTACCATGGGTCAGGCAAATCAGCAACCTAACACATAAGGCAGGGCCTGCATGGTGGCTTGTTACAATTGCATGCTCAGTGTCCAGTCCTTGCATTTAAAGCAGTATTTTTTTTTCCTTCATTGGCCTTGGGTTTTCCCTTGGACAACTTGGGTGTACTTAAAAGTATTGCCAATTGCAACAGTTATAATTTTGGCATGTCATTTTATCTCTGCCCTTCTCCTTTTATCTTTATCTAGACAAAGATTGTTAAATACGGAAAAGGCTATTTCCAATAGTTAGGTCATAAGGAGCTGGGAGCCCATTTGAAGTTTTTGTAATTATGCCAAATATCTGGGGCTGACTGACCAATAAATGCAGTCCCACCAGTGACCCTGCAGCTCCTTGGAAAATGGACCTATGCTTGAATAGTTATGGAAAGCATCTCCTAATTGGTTATGAAATAGAGCTGGAATTTCCTCTTTGCCTTGTGTAATCTCTCTCACCCTTTCATAACAACCAGCTTTCTTAATTTCATGGTAATAGCAGTTATTATTTTCAATCCACCACTAGTATTACAGTCCCAGTTTGGTTCCACTGAAGGAATAACAATCTTGCTGGGGTGATTTCCTTCTCTTGTCACAGTATATATTTCATTTATATTTCTCCGAAACTCTTCTAGGATTCTTTGTTTTTCATACAAGGTTCAGCAAGTTACAGTGGCCAAGATAAATTAGAGATTTCACCATGATAAGTCAAAAGCAACGGTCAAAGTCAGAACCCATCTGCAGACCTACCAGGATCTTCTAAAACTCAGCCTAACAATTCTTTCCATTGCTGGGTATCTGCCACTGAAAAAGGAACCTGGACTCTACTAGTCCCTTCTACTCGGTGGTCCCTCTCTTAGGAGCAAGATGAGCTGTGAGTTGGAAGAGTAAGAAACTCTGCTCCAAGTATGTCCTGTGGGGATAAAAGCTGCCTGAGGAACACGAGGAGGGGCCTGGGGAATACAGGGTCTCTTTGGGAAGCTGGCCTCTGGTGGAGTTCCTGAGTCATTTGAAGATAGAGCTGATTTCCTGGCTTGAGGATTTTAAAGACATCAAGGAGACCACAGAGTGTGGCTGTTTTCATTAAACAGTTGGGAGAGACCGAGAGATAGGTAGGCATCTGAGGACAGGGTCAATGATATCAATTCCCTCTTCCTTAGGGGCCTCTTTAATTACTATAATTCTTGGGCATTTATGGAGATAAAGAGGCATAAAAGCTTGAACATAAGGGATTTCACACCACCTTCCTTGCCTTTTGCAAAAAAGACTGCCATTCTATACCTACCTCTTGCCATTTCCTAGATTTTATTCGACCCAAAGAGTATTGCAATACAAGACAAGTTGCTCTTTTTTCAGATATGGTCAAACTGTTCCAAATTTGTAAGGATGCAGCCTAGGGGCAGGGTCACTGGGATCTGCAGTTATTTCCCCTGTGGTCACGGGGCCTGCTGGTTGGGCTCACCAAGGCCATCTTACTGGATTTCTGGGGTGCTGTGGGGTCATTTATCCTCATAATAATTCTCTGAGGACTATACTATTATTATCCCCATTTTACAGATGAGAAAAAGAGTCTCAGAAAGCTTGAGTAAGTTGCCTAAGGTCACAAAGGTGTTAAATGAGACAAGTGAGATCTCAAAGTCCATGTTCTTATCAATTTTACTATAATACCTCTTTATGTGACTTTTGGAGAAGAAAAAGATAGGAAGGTGGATGACAGTGCATATGAGTTAAATCAATGTTTCTCATAATAATAGATTGAGATCATATTTTAAATTGATGAATCATAAATAATGATAAGAGGTAATCAACAGAAAAAACTAACACAGAAACTACTTAAGGGACTGGTCTCAGAAGCAGGTTTGTGAGCTGTTTTGTATTTTATTTTATTTTATTTTATTTTATTTTTGGTACTGGGAATCGAACTCTGGTCCTTACACTTGCAAGGCAGGTGGTAGAACCATTGAGCCAAATCCTCGGCCCTATTTTGTATTATTAGCAAGCACTTTAATTACAATTTATTCTAGGGCCAGGGATTTAGCTCAGTGGTTCTGCCACCTGCCTTGAAAGCACAAGGTCCCGAGTTTGATCCTTGGTATCAAAACAAACTAAATAATAATTTATTCTAAAAATGTTAAAGACATCAAATTATGAACTATCAAATATGAGAAGAAAAATGTAATTATAAAACTAAATTAAAATTTTGGGTTTTTTTTTCTTTCTTCCTTACTTTTTACATTTTAAGTGCTAATTCTACATTAAAAGTTAATCTTAAAATGTGATTACAAGGATAAGGGTTGAGAAGCCCCAATTTTACCACTTGATAAGATATCTGAAGCTAATTCCCAATCTAGTAAATAGATTCCACAAGAATAATAAGATGAAAATTCCAACATTAGGATCCACAAAAGGCCTTACAACTCAGAAACAAGATGAGTGTCCTAAATATGTCTTTTGTCCATCTAGAAAACTTCTTTTTAAAACTAAAGTTCAATTACCTAGAAGGCTGCCGTAATGGCAGGAAAGGGCTCTGGATTCTTGCATATAGACACTGCCAGACCTTGGATGTACATGTGCTATTCTGTACTATATTAATTTAGAAACAATATTTTTCAGGGTAGGTGTCAAAAATATCTCATCAACTATTACAAATTTAAACTAGTAGATTAGTAGTAGATCAGTAAATTAGTTTGGGCAACAAATCAGTCCATAACAATGTGTGATTAGGTTTTACATCCCCTTAAACCAAGATCGGTTCTGTACCAGTAAAAGATACACTGTATGATGAGTGCTGCCATCTAGTGCTCAATGTTTTAGTGGCCTACCTTTCACAAGTGCTGATTGTTATTTATTAGTTTTTCCTCTTAGTCTCTGCAGCAGTTTCTATTTTTCATGGGTGCTTCTGAGACCTAAAACAAAATTTTTACTATTAAAAGAGTATTCATGTATAAGCAATAAATCTACAGACAGCTTTATATACTATGGGAAGTTTCGTGAGTTCTGATTCAATCCACTTCTATAGATTCATAGCTTTCTTAGCATTTCACTTCAGAAATTTCAATCCAGAAACAGGAATAGAAAGGCTCAATTATGCCAGTATTTCATCTTCTAAATTTGAATACCAGTCACTATTACAAAGCAATTACTATTAACTAAAAAAAATTCCCTGCAACATGTATTAAGAGTTGAAAAAGAAAAAATTCCTTTTTACCTAATATGTCAACAAGATACCCGAAAAGAAAAAAAAAAGAAAAGAATATTGGCTAGGCATAGTGACACATGCTTTTAATTCTAGCACTTGAAAGGCTGAGGTAGGAGGATTGCAAGCTCAAGGACAGCCGAAGTTACACAGAATAGTGAGTTAAAGGATATCCTGGTCTAGATAGTGAGACCTTCTCGTAAAAAGAAATGAAGGGAGGGAAATGAGGGAAGAAGGGAAGAAAATCAGCTAGAAATGTTAACTAAATTGCATCACTGAGCTCAATGTAAAGTAGAAGAAATTCTCAAGGGCAAAGAAAATGGTAACAAGAGCAGAAGACAAGGAATGAGGGCATTCCTACCATGGTAAATTTGCTGATACTAAAACTGTTGATCAAAATGTAATGGTTTCCAAAAACATAGGGTCTAAGACTTTATTCCTTGTGGGAACTAAAACATTCATGTAAGTCTGCAACCAGCAGAGCATGGTGATGTATACCTGTAATTCCAGCACTCAAGAGGCCAAGGTAAGTGGATTGCCACAAGTTGGAAGCCTCTCTGAACTATATAGCAAGACCTGCCTCAAAAAAAAAAAAAAAAATCAGGAAACTTCAATAGACCACACCAACAAAGAGAAACAAGGCTTGTCAGGGCTAAAATTTGAGAAGAAAAAAAAAAATCTCCCTTCTGAGTTATAAACCTCTCTTACAGGGGATTTGAAAATCGATACTAACATAATAATTCAAATACAAGAACGGGGAAAAAGCCAAAAAAATTCCAAAGTGCTTGATGTTTGGCTTAAGTCATTGAAAAAAAATGGTGTTACTATCACATGAAATGGACAAAGCTTTATGCAGCATATGACAAGAGAGAAGATAGAGGTTGTGTTTGAAAAACTAAGTTTGAGATATTTATGTTACATGTATAGAGAAATTTAGTATGCACTTAGATTTATAAGTCTGAAGTTCAAGAAAGAACAAGTGGGAGAGATATATTGGAGAGTAGTCTGTGTGACAACAGTACTATAGAACTAGAAGAAACTACCTAGTGAGTTCATGTAGATAGAGAAGTCCAAGAACTTATCTCCAGGACACTCCAATATCAAGAGATCAAAGAAATAAGCAAAAACTACCAAAGAAGCACTAAAGAAAAACAGGTAAGTGTTAGAAAATATTATAAGGGAAGCGAATGCATTCTAAATAGCATTAAATGTACATAAAATACCAAGGAATAAATTTAATAATGATGTGAAAGGTTTATTTTAAAAAGGTGTCTTATTTTTTAAAGAACTACCATGTTTTGGCATTTTTATTACAATAAATAAAAAAGTTTTCTGATCGAAATGACAGAGAATGAAGCCACTAAAATGAATGGACTAAATGTATATTCTAGACATTAAGCCTTTTAGGATAGTAATATCTGATGAAGAATAAAAATAATGTGGCAAGACAAAATTAAATGTATGAAGATATCTTTATGGTTTAGTATACTTAATATATGTCTGAAAGAAAGCATGGAAGAATACATAAAAAATTATGATCAGTGATTAATATATGACTTACTTTCAATTTTTATATTATAACTACCTGGATGATTAAATTTTTACCTCCAACACATAAATATTATCAATAAAGTTAGAATTTTTAATAAAGTTTAAATGGCATATAAAATATGTGAAAATCAATTTATAATATAGTGGTTATTCAGTAAAGTAGAAATAGTGTTATACACAATATAAGCAAAATTAAAATATGCATGGAAAACATACTGAAAAGAAATTTATCAAAAAAATTAACTGATACTCTGTTTTGCTAATTGTATTGAGTGCTTTTTCTTTTTGTTTATATTTAAAATTCTCTGTTAATACATATATTCTATTTTTTCAGTTTATTATGAAAATTCAAAGCATACAAAGTAAAGGTACAATGAAGTATAAGATGCCTAGTAACCAGTTCCAACAACTACTAAACCTTCAATATACTTATACCATTTTCCTTCATCTTTTCGTTTTATTAACTGCAATATTTTAAAGCAAATCCCAGACACCTTGTCATTGTCTTCTATGCCTTTAAGTTATATGTTTATACAACCACAATAACTTATTTTACCTAAATGAATAATTCTTTAATATCTTCCAATATTTAAGAAATAATAAAAATTCTCTAAAATATAGTTTTTCTAATTATTCAGTATTAATCATAATCTAAACAAAGACTCATTATATGTCTGTTATGGCTATATAATCCTACTCCAGTAGTGTTATAGAATGAGTCATGCTCTACACCCAAATTCATATGTTGAAGTCCTAACCCCCAGTGTCACAGAATCACTGTATTTGAAGATAGGGTCTCTAAAAGGGCCTCTGAGTTAAAATGAGGTTATGAGAGTGGGTCCAAGACAGCAGTGACTTTAGTCTTGCATTCCTGGGTAACGAGAAATAAAGCAGTCTGATTAACAAGTTTACCACTATATATACCAAACTGCTACTGGTTAGAACCCACTGACACTAAACATCTTTTTCTCTATACTTGTATTTCTTGAATTTCTGTGTTAATTAGTCACTCTGCAGCCAGTTACCTGAAGCAAATATCTTAACACCCTCAAAACTTAATTTAAAAAATAATTATAAATTTGTCTTGAATTTCTGTGTTAATTAGTCACTCTGCAGCCAGTTACCTGAAGCAAATATCTTAACACCCTCAAAACTTCTTAATTTAAAAAATAATTATAAATTTACAAAAAGTATTTCAAGTTTTTGCCTTCATCAATATTTCCTGTTGACAAATTAATTTACCACTTTGTCTATATATTTATTTATATTTATATTTATTTAGAAGTACTTTTTTGTGTTAATTAGTCACTCTGCAGCCAGTTACCTGAAGCAAATATCTTAACACCCTCAAAACTTCTTAATTTAAAAAATAATTATAAATTTACAAAAAGTATTTCAAGTTTTTGCCTTCATCAATATTTCCTGTTGACAAATTAATTTACCACTTTGTCTATATATTTATTTATATTTATATTTATTTAGAAGTACTTTTTTCTAAACCATTTGAGTAAATTAGACATGAAACATCATTAGCATTACATGCTTCGGTGTATACTTTCTTTTGTGTAGTTTTTCTTTTTTAGTATGTTTGTGATACATAATGATTACATTCATCTTGGGGAATTGGTAATATACATATCACATCTTAATCCTTTTTACTTCACTTTTCCCTCCTAACCCTTCCATCTATTCCCATCTGCGAGCCCCTTCCCATCTTCACAAAGTCTATCCTGTGATTCCTAGCATCTATTTATTTATTTATTTATTTTACCCTTTAAATTATTTATATTTTTGGTTTCTCATATAAGAAAAGTCATTCAATATTTAATCTTCTGTGTCTGATTTATTTTACTAAGCATTATGGTCTCAAGGTGCATCCATTTTCCTCAAAATGATTCAAAGGTATCTTTATGGCTGAGTAGTACTCTACTGTGTAGAAGTATCATATTCTCTTTTTTTTAATTGAGTTTATTGGTACATTTTAGGTACACAATACAGTTACATTCATTATTGGGATCTTGTACCTTTACATGACAGGTCTTGGTTCTCATTTTTTCCCCTTGTCCCTGCCCTCCCTTCACCCCCTCTTCCCCTCCCCATTTACAAACACTTTATTTTCATTTTCTCATATTTTTTTCTTTTCTCTTATTACCTTTCCCCTACCCTTCCCACTTTCCCTACACCTTTAGCCCTTTTCTTCCTATTTCACATTGTCAATTATCCATATTCTCTTTATCCATTCTCAGTGTATATATTCTAAAAACAAAGATATCACCTACATTACCAGGGCATAGTCATTAAAATCAGGAAATTTACATTGTTCAATTACAATAACATTGTTAAAATTGTTATGAAGGAGTCAGAGATTTAGCTCAGTGGTGCCACACCTGCCTTGCAAGTGCAAGGTCCTAAGTTCGATCACTGGTATCATAAAAAAATAGTTATGTAGGGTTGTAGCTCAGTGGTATGCAAAAGGCCCTGGGTTTGATCCCAGCACAAGAGGGTAGGGCAGGGAGACAGGGAACAACAATCATCTAAAATAAGACTTCACTCAAATGTTACTACTTGTTCCAGTATATCTTTATAATAAAAGGATCTAATTCAGAATCATGTATTCATTTAGTGGTCAGTTCTCTTTATTCTTTGTTCTCCTACAACTTAAAAAAAAGTTCTTTAGTTGTTCCTTTGTCTTTCATTAACTTAACAATGAAGAACACAGATTCCTCATTTTGTAGAAAGTCTCTCTCAATTTCGGGTTATCTATATCTCTTCAAGCTTAGATTTAGAGTATGCATTTTTGGCAGAAATATCACAGAAGTATGCTCTAAGTGCCTCTTTTCAAGTGGCAGACCATGTTTGTTTCATAAGTGCTGGTGGTAATTTTGATCACTAGTGCCACTTCTTTTTGAAACTAATAAGTATTTAATTGGCCATGTAAAATTATGTGTCTGAGAACTTTCACCTTTGTGTTAGCATATCTTCACTGTAAGTTGCCAAAGATGATATTTCTACATTTCATCATTCCTTCCACATTTTTAGTTGGGATTTTAATGTAAGGAAAAACTTTTTCCCCATTTTTCAAAACATTTATTTCAGTATTGATTCAAGTACTATTTTAGTGCATTATATAATTTTATTATAATGGTGCTCAGCCACTTGTGGTCAATAGGAGCTTTTTTAAGACAGTTCTGTGCCTTTTTTGGTATATTTTATCATTCTAGAAGAACTTCCTTAATTTCTGTTACATCAATATTTTTCAGACTTGTGCTGTACTTTTCCTGCTTTAGCTCTTTAATGAGCTATTTCCCTAGATCCTTTTAGTGGAAAAATCAAGAAACAAATATCTGGGCACTAAATGCTCAGTGTTTCTACTGTACCATTCTTAGATTCTTTTACCAGACAGAGATGGGGAAAAAAAAAATAGATCCCTTTCCACTACCCAGAAATTTTCCACTACCTACATCATTTAATTATTTACATAAATGTCACTTTTGATTTGAAATATTCCTTGACTCTCACTCATACTACTACTACGAAAGAAAGCTTTTATTAGAGGCAGAGAAGGTAAAAGGTGTGGATTTCAGCTAGCCTGATAAGATTAGTGAATGTGTCCTGAAAATAACACCTTACAAAGAATGAGCAACCAGAGTTATTACTTGGTAAAACTGGATACTTACTGGCAGTTATGAGGACACATGAAAAGTACACAGTTTAATAGGCAGTTCTAGGAGCTAAATGTGTCATCTATTACTCATTAATGTTCACTTAAGTACCAACTGTTTGACAGTGTGGCAGATGGTACTATATGAAGAAAACATATAAAATTGGAATTTAAAGTCTAATGGGGGGCCTGGGAATTAGCTCAGTGTTTCTGCCACTGCCTTGTAAGCATAAGGTTCCAAGTTTGATCCCTGGTACCAAAAAAAAAAAAAAATTTTTTTGAAAGTCTAATAATGTATAGCAGGAGGGTTCAAAGGATTTAGTCAATTTAAAAATCTAAAGTTAATAATATTTGGCAGGAGAAGTCTACAAGAAGGGAATTTTTTCAAGGGGTCTCAAGGGATGAGGATGACGTGTACAAGGATTAGGGCACGAAGTCTGTGGACTGTTTTGTGTGGTACACATATTTCATAAATTGCACAAAACTGCATGGTGTACATTATTCGACATTGTATGAAACTGAACCAAGGAGGTAAGAGACGAAACTATTCAGAGAGTTGAAAAAGTATCTGGTATCCCAGGCAAATATAAGTCGATTTTCTCCTACAGATGGCCTCTGAACTATATTTCAGGCAAGTGGTATTTCTAGCTTTAGATTTTTATTGAGGTCATTCTGGTAGTAATGTGGAGAGAATTTAGTAGTGAAAACTGGAACAAAGGGGTCATTTCACAATTAGTCCAGTGAGAAGTGTTGAATGCTGATATTAGGCCCTGGCAATTGTGATAGCTGACTCTACACTGGGGATATTAAGAAAGCTAGAATGGACATGATTAGGTAGAAGATTTAGGGAAACTCTTATGGCGTATTTTCCTAAAACACGGCCAGGAAAGTTGTGGCTTAAAGTCAGAGAGAAATCCAGAAGAAGAGTTAGACTGGGCAGTTTTAACAACTCAGTTCGGCGTGCTTGGGTTGGCTAATAACTTTCATTGTCGCATCAGATTTTTAGAAACAAGTGAGATTTGCTTTGTAAAGTGTGATGATATCGAAAAGTGGAAAAGCTAGCCTCCAAAGAAATATACACAACTCTCTCACCATGCAATGAAATAACAGCTTATGGCGCTAAATGAAGAAAATAGCCCATTACTTTAAGTTGAGGAAAGCGCCATTTTTTCATCTCTAGCGATTTAGAGCAAAAAATGGCGACTGCAGTAGAAATTAAAAGTGGGGTAAGAGGGCGTTTGGTAAAGAAAAGATGACGTTCTAATTTTTGTCTTGTATTCAACAGAAAACTCAGCACTTAGGGAACTTTGGATAATTTTGTTACCCTTAAGATTTTGTCTTTGGGGGAACGCTTCATTCTCCACGCTTAAAAGCTTGTTTCACTTCGATGTGTGCTGAGGAATGGTGACGAGTCTGTTTTTTCGCTTCATTACCTCATTCGTTCGTGTTTGCTACTCTGGAAGGGTTTCCACCGCGGCCTCCAGGTCTGGCTTTGCCGCCTGTGTTTTTCCCCGACCTGGTTACAGCTCTGAGGCGCGGAGTTTTTCGCTAGCGAGAGAGGAGAGGTTGAGCGCGCCGGCGTATCCCGCGCTCCCTTCCAGCTCAGGGAGGACGAGAGTCGTTCCCGCCCGGGTCGCCCCGAGCGCGTTCCCCGCGACAGGCTGA